TACTCAATGTTTCATTAAGTATTAACACACTTAAAATATCTCGCACTTACAAAGACATTATAAATTTTAAAACTTTTAATCATTTTTTAAAAACAAAAAACGAATAAAGGTTTTTGTGACAATTATATGCAAGTTTTTAATTAAAATATTAATTTTAATTTAAAACAATAAAATACTTCAATTGCTTTAAAGTGTGTTAAATAGGATATATGAAAATCGTGATCAAAAAGTCTAAAGATTTTAAAAACAATAAAATAAAGTAATCATACAATAAATGAAAAATAGAGATAAAGTCGTCCAAAAAATAACACAAAAAATAGATAGGATTGAATTGTTTTAAACGTAATAATAGTACAGTAATAATAATAATACTAACAAACAAACAAAAAACTAAAGTGAAAAGAAACATTTGAGTTAAAACATTGTATATAAACACAAAAATAATGATAAGTAAACCCAAGTTTATAGTAAAGTGGAAAAACATTTGCGATATTATCTCACAACTGATTTTCACAGAACCAGAAGAAAAAAGGATTAAAAGAAAATTTCATTGTATTTCACTGTTATTTTTATTATTGTATTACCAGTGCTGGACACACACACACACACATACATACAGTTTTTTTAGTGGACCTCTTAGTGAGAGACTGAGAGTGAAGGGATATATAAATAGTGACAGCATTTTTATAGTCCAACCAAACCAGTGGTCAATAAAGCAAACCTAAAGAATCGCATTCTTTCGACTGTTATTTTGGTTATAGATTGAGACAAGAGTTTCATTTGAGGACAACAACAACAAAATAGTGGACATAAATTACTTTTAGGCTTCAATTCCCAAAACATTGGCCCAAACCATTGATCTCATCTATTATAAGTTCCCCAAAACAACATTCAACTAAACCAATAGTGTAATTGTGTATTGATTTTAAATCCTTACCTAAAAAATACAAAGAAAAAAATAATAAAAACATTTTAATTAAATAATTCAAATAAAATAAATCGTATGTATCATTAAATCGTATGAAGTTTTTATTGTTTATAGTCAAGTGTATAATGCATAATAAATCACACGAAATACACGTTTGATAAATAATAAAATTCAATCAACGATAAAATCGCTTTAACTTAATGAGAATTTTTAATTCAATTATTCAATTCAATTATATACTATTTGTTAGTAAAGAGAGAGAGAGAGAGAGAGATTAGATAAATAATTACACATTGAATTTAAGTCCAAAACACACATTTACAGTATACTGTAATATCAATATATTGGTATAAATTATTACCAATTGAATGCTAAGAGATGAGTGTAGTATTAATACCGGTATATAAAGTTAAATATATTCAAAAGTTATTCACTTATTTATATGTATCTCTTATTTTGTTGTTTATGATAAACATTGAAAATGCGTGCAAAACAACTGACACGACATACACTCACAACACAACTGACATATAAATCGAGAGATACTATGAATTGTTATTCATAAAAATATACATATATTTGCCTTAAACCGGTAAAGTTATGAAATATAAACAAAATGCAATATAATCAGTACATCAGTCACTTATATATAGTAAAAGATGTGCCATTGATTACATATATATTGTTTGTTCAGTATATATGATTTATATTGACTCCATTGATATATATAAATATATATAAATTATATTTTATATACATTTCCAATGGATTCATAGATTTTCTTGATTTTGTTGATCTCAGGAATTATTATGTAAATGCCCTCCGAGTCTAAAATATGATCGAAAGTTACTATGTATTGCACAGTTAGCTTATGAGGAAAGTTAGACAAAATGTTGATCACACTAATACTATTACTAAAATCACACGCAAATAGAATTATGTATATAAAAGACTTGTTTTTATTTGTCGATTCATACCTAACACATACACCAGATATACTGTATATATAAATTACTATAGTTTAAGTCCCTATCCATTATAGCAATCGTTGAAAGTTAATGCCGTGTTTTTTAGTCGCCTTCACAAACATGGGGTCAATTCTCTGGCATCGGTACCCAATAATAAGTCATCGAATACATGAGCGCCTCTTCAAAAGTTATACAAAAACATATCAAACTTTTTTAGAAACTCACTTCGCTTTTGTAAAGTATGTCCATTTAAACTGACGGCACATTCAGAGAAAAGGAGTCGAATATATATATATATATAAAATATTACTAAATACTACTCCACCCAATCTAACCTTCCATTCAATATATATATTATATATAGCAATATATAATAGTCAATAATGTATTGGCAAACATATGAACTATTTATAAAGTCATGCAAACTAATGGTACACCTTATCCAACATAGCAAACACACACATCACAAGAGTTAACTGTGAAAAACAAACGGAGTTCCTCTTCAATCATAACACAAAAAAACAAAAAAATGCCCAAAATTTATAACACACTTGAGGTCCACACAATATTTACTGGTCTTTTATGAAAGTAGTAGATTGCGAGCATCGGTACGTTGAATATATGGCATATAACTGCTCATCGATGCAGACAACAAATTGGGTGAAGAAGTTGTTTAAAAAGATAGAAGTGTTTGCTTATACTCTGGTATTTGTTTAATAACTTATTGGCTTTTTTGTGTTTTCAGTGTCGGTGTCTCTGAACTTTCTGAGAGTAAAAACATTGAAAAGAAATATTCTCTCAACAAAAATATAAAATTGAGATAAAATAAGTTTTTTTATATTAAAAAGTGGCATTAAATTTAATGTCGTTTTTTTATATGACATGTTTGTTGTATATGAATATCGACAAGAATTTATTAGTGAGCCTCACAGATATTTTTTAGTAAAGCAAAAGTCAATTGAATTTTTTTTATTTTATTTCAACTTTATTTTGATATATATAATACACTGTATATTTAATTTTCCACTCAAACTATAGCACTACCAGAAAAATGTGTCGACTTTTTTCAAACGTTAAACTATCTGTCCGTTTATAAGATATGTGTGGATGCGGTCAATAAAAATACATATAATATCAACTTATATATATAACTACATAAAGTTTGGTGTCTTAGTATATATGATATGACAGATATGACTGAATTGAATGCAAACTTAATATGACATTTGGGAAGACATTTACGATTTATAGAATATATATACAAATATCTCACTACAAGTTTGCAGTATATATATATTAAACTGAAGAAAATTATTTATTCAATTCACGTAAACTTATTTTAAAAGTATATACAATCCGTATCATATGTATCTTAAAACATATGGCATTAAATGAGATTCAAAATATTATTAACTAAGAGGTTTAGTCAAAAAACCAGTCGTCAATAAATAAAACAACTTACAATATAACAGAAAAAATTATATAAAATTATTATTATTTTATAAATGAAAAGATGTGCAGAAATAAAAAGATGATTTGATTTTTTATATATTTTTTTCAACACAACTACACGTAAATAATATAAAAAAATTATATTAAATCGTGATTTTGTTCAAACTATCGTTATTATAGATACAAGAGAATGGGGTTTATTATTAGCAAAATGTGTATTTTAACTAATTATAAACTATATCATCGACTGATAACACATGTATTAACAATTTTTAAAGAAAACATCAAACTATTATTTATTTTATACATTATTTTTTTAAAATTTTAAACAAAATTCCTTAAAAAGTTCATTATATTTAACGCAACAATAATTAAGACACGATATGCTTACTAAATAAAAAAAAATTATTTGGGGAACGGGTAGGGATATTGTGTTGTTAGGTACCATCACCTCAACCATCAACTGATATAATAAAGGAGAATAAAGAACTGTTGTGGTAGTGATGATACCATAAGACATAAATGATATCTATGGCATTGAACTATATATAATCCCCGAGTCGATGATAACAGCCGTCACCAAATTGGTCCGCAAAAAACATAAGACACATATTTATTTTAATATAAAGTTGTCACTTATATCAATAGATTATGTTTAACAGTAAAGTCAGTCTCCTTTTTTCATATAAGAAAGTAAACTAAAGCAAACATTTCAAACTTGAAGCAAAAACATTCTGTATATACAGTGTATATATATATATATACTGTGTATATAAAAATCAAACAAAAATTTAAATATGTTTTTTAAGTGACAAAAATCCTTAACTTTAAACTGAAGTTATAAAATGCTTTTAGATATCACTAAATATGATTTCTATTATTTAAATGCATAATCATATACTATATATAATAGTAAAGGTATTTAAAGGGAGAGTCTCTACAAAAAAACAAAGACACTAATCTTTCTGACAATTTTTCTGTCAAATTAAGGCAATATTTCTTTTGTTATTTTTTTGTATTGCATATACTTTGCACAGACAAATAGCTTACAAATAATTTAAGCAAAAAAAATCATTTTTGAAAAAACAACAAATAAGGCTATTAAATGTCTAAGACTAATGTATATATATATATATATTAGTTCTCATAATTTATTAGTTATTAATTTAAATAACAATCTAGTAATTGGCATCCAGTTTATTTTATTGTTGCTATTATTATTGATCCGCCCCATTATAATTAACTTAACTAACATAATATTATATATACGTCATATAAGCATAATTTACTTAAAGGTCGTATAACTTTTTAAAAAACATTTAAAACCAGTGTCTCTGTTATCATATATTGAAATAATTTTTAGTTAAATGTGTAAATTCCTGTTGAAGTTTTTAACACAACTTTAAAAAAGTATAACAATTACTTCTTATTAACATTTTAAGTAAAACACTTGACTTAACCAATAATAAAGAGTAGTTTTCATTGTTATCATTTAGTTTCTAGTATTGTTTTTTAGCAATAAATGTAATTATAAATTGTAAATGATATGAGTAGAGCACCATTACTGTGAAAACATAAATTTATATATTGTATATAGAGTAGTACTGTAGTATTTATACTGTATAATGGGTAAAAAGAGGATTGTTGTAGCACTAGTATGCCTGGAGGACACACCAATAATTGGCATTCAATCCTATTTTTCTCAAACAACTGTTCCATATATTAGGCACCGCTATATTATCTCTGGTTTCTAAATAAAAACAATTACAATCATAATTATAATTATTTTAACTCAATTGCCAATAAAGTTGTTGCAAAAAACACAAGACTTTGAAATTACAAGAAAGAGAGAAAGAGAGAGAGAGAGAGAGAGAGAGAGAGAGAGAGAGAGAGAGAGAGAGAGAGAGGCTGTTGAGCGACTAATTAATGAGTCACTAAAATGATTATAAGTAGTTAATAGACATCAAATGAAAATAGTATTTGTAATAAAAATTTTCTACTTATTGATCCTTTTCACAAAAAAGTTTATATTTACTTTTAAATTAGCATAACTTTAATTTTAAAAATAAAATCAATAGCATATACAGTATTATAAGTTTCCTAATATAACAATGATTACATGTTTTAGGAAATTGAATTATAAATATACTGTACTTTTTAAGTTTAACAGCACTTTATTTTTCTTTTAAAAATTTATTTTTGTGCACTTTTTCAAGTCATTGAAATTCGTGTAATTTTCAACTAATTGACAACTCTAGACATTTGACTAACAATTTTCTCCACTTTACAGCTATTATTGAATTTTTTCAATATAAAAGGGTCTCTCCCTATCAGCTCTCTATCTTCAACTCTATAGTTAGCAAATAATTTACAGTCAAACAAACAAATAACTAAAGTTTGTATTAAAATACAACTTAAAAGCAAATGCATAAAAATAAAACTTAGTGTTTTCCACAATAAATGATAAAAATAATTCATTATTACAAAACATATTGAATATAATTTTTGATGTAATAGTAAGAACATCAATAATACTAAAAATAATAGAAATAATAATAATAATAATAACCAGACATAATATAATAAAAATAATATTGAAAAAATTAGTCTAAGGAATAATGAGTCAATCCTTATCCTATTGCATACCAGTCCCCAAATCCCTTAATAACAATATGAGCTAAAATATTAAACTATACCTAAAGGGCTATTTACAGCTCAATGTGTTGCAATGTTATGAGATATAACTTATGATATGTGGGATAAAAAGTAATTTGAAAATCTTCACTAAAAGCTAATAGTTTTGTGTCGGATCTCCTATTAGTTTTCTGATGGGAAAGTCATCACCAGCTTATTATAAGGTGTTTTCCATTATTTTATATATATCCATACATATGCTAAACTCTCACACAAATTGAACGTCAAAAATATTGAGAGGGAGAGACCCCTCCTAATCATTATATACTACAGCTATACTAATGTTACTCCAAAAATATGTGATATGTGTGTAATGTATTTTTGCCTTATAATGTATGCGAGCATTACTTGGAAATTAAGGTCCGACTGTCCGACCACTCAGTATAGCATTCAGGCGCTTCACGACTCAGACATAGCATATTAGTGGCAGACGTTTTGAGGAATACCATTAAAACAACACAACAACTCTACTAAACATGTAATGGCTTTTAGTTGAGCAGCCAGTGGTGCCCCTGGAGGTGCACTTATAACTGAAATGCGGGTCAAATTGGCGGTCACTCCACTTATTTGTCATCTCTTTCCCCAATCAGACCTTTAATACAATATAAGTCATATATATAAATGTATTTTAAGGGATAAATATGTGAGAGAATAGCGCCAAACAATTCATATCATATCACAGCCGATAGGAATGCAATAATAGCTGAGATATTTGTTTTTATATAAATAAATAGGTTTTACCAATATTTGTGATAATCCTAACTCTGGTGTGTTGTTTGTCTGGTATTTTTAGGCTATCAATCGGTGCTCTCTTTATACATACGATAATTGTCTATCTGTCTGTCGTCTCATAAATAAATATTTTAGTTATGACTGCAAAATGAGTGAGCGATGAGTGTATGCCAACTACTCCTATGATATCAAAAACGATGGTTTTATAAAGTGAGAGCCAAATGAATGCCACAAATATTTAGATAGGATTTCAATCAGTATTTTTTACTTCCAGTCTATTCTTGTCATAAATATTATAAGATATATACTGTATATAATATAGAGCTTATACTTATAGCTTAAAACATTTAATATCATTAGATTAAACAATAAATGCTAAGCATAATATAACATCAATTACAAAAATTCATGCAAACATACAGTAAAAATAATGATGATAATAAAAATTATTAAAATTTTGTCGCATATATAAAACGGTAATTTGTTTTGCAAATATAAATATTATAGAAATAATGAGAAATATTAAACGTCTTTCAATTTATTTTTATCTTTCACTCATTCACTATAATTCTCTTTCATAAATAATTAAATTATTCAATAATATTAATACTACAGTATATATAAATAATGTTTTATATTCTCAATGATATAAATGATATACAAGTTCTCTCTTACTATACGTATTGCTCACGAAAGTCCTTAATATAAGAATAGGACAAATATATATATATATATAAAAGACAGAAAATATTGAATTTGATATTAGAGTCATATAAATAAATAAACATTTAAGAGTAAAATAAAAACTCATTTAGACGTCCATACAATACAAACATACAAAAGTTTTGACAGAATATCTAAATATGTATTTCTCCTATTCATCAAATAAGTCAATAAAATAAACATTAGTTGTGATGACATTTAAATGAATTAAAATATACTTTTGAATAAATTTTCTTATATAATACTAAATATATAATATTTGGAAAAAGTTAAAAAAAATTATCATAACTTTTGATATAAATAAAATTCTATCATCCACTTCAATATAAATATATCAATCAATAATATCAATAATATTTATGTTATGAATGTTAAATAAGTTTACTATTTTATGAATTTGGCATTTATTATTAATATGACAAACACAACACAAAATAATTGCAATGTAACTCCATTTATATATCATATTAACACTTATTAGCAAACAATAACTAATAAAAAATAAAAACAAAAACAGTATTCATTTATTGTTATACTAATACATGACTTGTCACCAGAAAAAAATATTGTCTAACTTTTACTATTATTTATAAATATATTGATATATATATATATATATATATATGTGTGTATGTGTGAGGGCATTATTATGAGCACTCATGCAATTTATATCATTTAATAATAATAATAATACTCAGTATATATCCACACACTTTTGGTTGATTCGTGTATAAGCTCTTACTTTTTTTTGGCTAATATCTTGTAAACTGATAGACAAAGAGAGGGCAAAAAATCAATGGTTAAACTAATCAAGATATCAGACTTTCATTTTATTATTGATTACAAGCCAATCACACGATATATATACAGAACATACTGTATAATAATAATACTCGCGTTTTTGACGCTAACCGTAAGCATCAATTCATAATAACATTTTTTACTCTCTTTCATCTTTTTATACATTTTTCACCTTTAATTCAATACCTAATAAATATACTGTTTTATAATATTTTAAATATAATTATAGATCAAAATATAAGCAAATTTTATAGTAAAACAACGAAAAATATAATGTTTTACTTAAAGGCTCACTCACTTAATACTGGTCTCTCCCGTGGGGTATTAAATGCTATACTAAGCTATTTATAAATTTATATATAAAATTACATAAATTTCTGTGAAAAACATACGATCTATGTTTTGAACATAAAATTATTGATTATCTAAGTCTAGTGTCGACTCTTTTATTGTTTTGCTTGTGTTGTACTGTCGTCTTATATAATGTCTTATATTTATACTTTAGATGTAAAAAGTGGAGACTTATCAGTAAAACATCAAAAGTGTAGAGAAGTAGTGGATAAAAGTGAATAACACAAGAAAAGTGATAATAACAAAAACAACTCAACTCTAACAGCAATAGTAGTGATGGATCATAACATACATATCACACATTTATATATAACCCACCGGTGCTCTAACAGTGTTATTGGCTCTAAATGATGTGAAAATTGATGAATAGATAGCAAAAACATAGACAAAAAGCAAAAAAACTAAAAGAAAGTAAAAAACATAACTTATTTTATAAGAAGGGATAGAAATGTATACTATTTTTATGTGTCGATGCATAACATGGGAAGGCGTTGTAATCAGAATCTCTCTCTCTCTCTCTCTCTCTTTCTGTATGTCTTTCTCTCTGAACTCTATGTTTGAAAAATGTAAGCAAAGAGAGTAAAGTGAGACAAAGTTGAGTAAAAGCTATGATCTAATGATACCCAAAGGACTCTGAGAAAAGACGAGTGAAAAAACATCTAAAAGTTGGTTGAGTTTTGTCACACTTTTATTCAGCGATTGTGAACACAATACACGATATGCTGTTTAATGACATTTTTTTTGTCTCAGTTGTGATTCATTCGTAGCTTTCATTCACTCATTCATTGTTGTAATTATTGTGTGATATGAAAGACTTGTTCAAAATAGATACCATCAAAACAATTGAAACGACAGATTGATAGACAAAGACATCAAAGTTTTTATCTTAAAATAAACTTTGTTTTAATTGCAGCTATTTTTCCTCACATTTATCTAACAAATGCTTTGGCTATATATCAAATATAAACTATGGCTATAAAATACATATACAATATTGATGTTTATGACTATTGCCATTAGCTATAGGATGTAATACATAAAGTAAATTTAAGCAAAGCAATTATTTATTGAAAGCTATTTTGTTGTTTTGTGTATACAAATAATAATAATAATATCTTTCAAATGTCGTCAATTGATAATATATGAACATTATGTTTGGTGACAGGCATTTATTAAATGTAAAAACTGATATATACAGTATAAAATTATCAATACAATAAAGCACAATAAAGTCAACATTTTTTAATCTATTATCCAATATATATATATATATATATATATATATATATCACTGAATAATAAAAATATTCACCAAATTGTATATATGATAACCTAATATACTTTACTGTATATATAATAACCAAAAATCAAGCGATCAATCGCGATGATACACACATAACATTTATGATACTGTAAGGTAACGGTGCTATATTGCATCAGTTATACAGTATATCATCAAAACTATGGCTTAACATTATGTGGATATACTGTATAACATGGTTTAGAGTGCGTGATCTGAAAATTACATTATCGGAGAGCATTGACGCTCTCTTTCAATGTATTCAATATATACAACAATAACAAAAAGTAAAAAGACATACAATATATGATAAAAAATTATATATCAGGCAATTGATGGTCGGAATAGTATTAACTAAACGCTCAAGAATTCATGTATTTCCGTAATTATTGATCTCTTCTTTTATTATCAAAATATTATTATTAATAATAAAAAGCTTATGAGAATTGATACACTAATATCGTAAAAATATAAATACAATGTTTTTAGCATATTTTTATAACAAGATTTGTTTTACGTCCACACCATACATAAAACTATATACTCGTAACATATTATATTAGTTAGTAATGCAATAATAAAAATGTTTATTATTGCTATTAATAATATATATTTCCGTACAGAATATTTTATAGCTTGAGTTAGTCCTAATAACAGTAAAATCCGATTCATTGACAAAACACACACAGACAGAGAGAGAGAGAGAGAGAGAGAGAGAGAGAGAGAGAGAGAGAGAGAGAGAGAGAGAGAGAGAGAGAGAGAATGGCATAAAATAATCAACAAAATAATAGTAGTTTTAGTAGTGGAAAAAATTGTTGGTTTTTAAAGCTATCGACAAAATGAAAGAAGCAGTGAATGCCATTCCTCTTTGGTTATATTTATACATATAATATACTATGTACAGTATATATATATATATATATATATATATAATTTATATATATATATACTCACAATTATATGAAAATGTGTGTTGAATTAAAATAGTACAGTGCAATGTGCCCAATGAGCCCAGGTGGCCGCACCCAATAAATAGATTGCTGCCTATTAACCGCTCAGTTATTATCATAGATTTAATTTCTTAATGTTTACACTTTAGTTGTCATTACTCGGGCAGAGAGTATGGGAAAGGGAGCAAAAACAGACTTATGTTATTCGGTATTAATGGTTAGGCGAGAGAATCAATAGATTTATATGTATTGATATCAAAAAAATATAAAACGCCTGATTTGTGCAATCATTTATTTAATACCAATAATTTTATTATTATATAACTAATAATATATACACATAAAGCTAATAGCAATTAAATATAATATGAAAGACCATTTAATATACTAAATATTAGCAGTGATTGCTATTTCATGAAATACTTTGGCAAATGAGTGACACATTTCTTCACTAAATTATTTCACATTTTCGGTGATATTTGGCTTTAGTGTTAAGTGTTTTATACATATCTATAGATACGATTAATATTATTATTATCATTATTAGTAGTATTAGCAGCATTGGTGTTATGGCACAGAGCTTAGGGGATGGTTAGCTGAGTAATATGTGTGCGTAGACTGACATTTATATACATTAAGTGAGCAAATTTTTTTCAACACCAATCCTCACAAATACACTGAGTTAGAGATATGTCTTAAAGTCAGTCATAACTTATGATTAGTTGTTTTTCATGACTTACGGCACACACACTTACATCCGTAAGAATATATAAAAACACTTTCTTATATGTGGTGTAACTATGAATTCATAGTCATTATTATCATTTCACAATTGATGGACCACTTTCTTGGAGGGTATGTCAGTGCGGAAAGTATGTGTGGGGACAATGAGTTTAGTAGTAAAGTATATAAGCAATGGAACGTAAGATATGAAGTCAAATACACCAACCCTGGTATAGTATATATAAAATATATAGTGTGTGCACCTCTTATTGTTATATGAGGTGAATAGAGTACCCATTTTTTTGTGGCGAATAGCACAGGGAGTTTTCCAAACTCATATTTCATCCCATCCCATGGTTAAATAGTTTTCAAAAAAAAATTCAAAAATAACACATATTTTCACCTCAAAAAAAATGTTATAAAATAATAATATTATTTTTAGTTCAAACGGACATGAAATTTAATACTTAATATTTAATTAGAAATTAAATATTATTACAAAACAAAATTTATTTACTTTCTTTTATTTTATTGCATCTCTAACTCATTTGTCGGATCAAATGGTTTAGCTTATATAGTAATGATATAATAATATGATTTATTCATAAATAATATGAAATGAATTATGATTATATTGAATCTCTGAAAATTAGGTTTATTATGCAATTTTATATTCAAAAGCTTAGGTTGTCATACAGTACTAAACATTAATGTTAAATAAAGTGTAGGGGTATATAGTATAAGTAGATTTGCACAGGGATTGTAGTCAAACAACGTTAACTACCTATTATAGCAACAAAAAATATACAATACATTAGTAATTGAAATTAAATATTATATAATAATCATTGTTATAATGAATCCACACATTTCATCAATAATGACTTTCATAACTCTAATTATAATTTACATACATCTCTCTCTCTCTCTCTCTCTCTCTCTCTCTCTCTCTCTCTCTCTCTCTCTCTCTCTAATCTAAAAAAACTTTACCATATATTTGATAGACTATATATGGCTATCATTTTAATGACAGCACACATTATATTTAGTTTGTTATATAAGTAAAAACACAAATAATAAGGAAATTTTGTTTTTTATATTTAAAAGACTCCGATATATGCCTACGCCTTATATAAAAATGAAGATTAAGGGCCCAAAACATGGCATTCCTTCGTGTGCTTCGTGTGCAACAACAAGACGTCCCAACTTTGGTGGTCAACAACACCAAACAAAGAGAGAGACAATGAGATGATAGTAATGGTGAGCACTGGGATTATACTGTATTTATATCAAATGTATACTATAATACATGTTTATATATACTTTACATTTTAAAGGTATTACTTATTGGTATAAATCTATGTTAAAATGGTATTCACAAAAAACCTCAAGAATTAAGAAATAATACAATTAAATCATAAATGAATGTTTGAATTGAGAGTAAGTTTTAAAAACATTTTTATTGAACACAAATTGTTGAGAGACTTAAGTTTGTGACCATTTAAGACACGCCAATGAGTTTATACAATGTTTAAAGAAAAGTCATTGAGAGACACATATTGAGTGAGTGATTGGGAAAATAGCTTTAAATAGTTTGGTCCCAGCATTTCATGTGGTGTCAGACCCAATGTTTACAATAGTGGCAATGCCTGAGCCCATTGGGAACCTAGAGTTATATGGCTCTCAAATTGCATGTCTTTAGGTTTTCCATAAAAATGCGGATCTCTTTTAAAGAAAAACACTTAAAGCAGTGGACGAGAAAAATAGCGTTTAGTTATATATATTAGGGATTTCGATACGGATGGTCGATAGGGGGACCACTTTGGGGAATGTCTGCTCAGGAGATACAACTTTGCCAGACTTAGGAGCAAAAATAACTTATTATATTATACTATAATTCAATGGATAAAAATATTTATTGCGAGAGAAAAGTGCTGTAAAAACTTTATGATTTAATAGGATCTATAAAACAAATGCAAACCTAATGAAAGTGGGATTTAAGTAATAAATGAAAGTTAAAAAATAAAATAATTGAAACATATTATTGATGTATAATATATTTTAATATGTTTTTATCTACATATTGATAATTTTATTACTCATTCCAATAAAAAATATCTACAAAATAATTGTTGAAATGTTTATGATTTCAGTCATATGTTTAAATTAAAAATTATATATATATTTGTGTAATTTCCATATAAAAATCTATTTAGTTTAAATATAAATTTATATATTATGTAATATGCAAATATACTGTAGATTCAACTTAATAGATTTTATAATATAAAATATATAAAACATATGTGCTTTATATCATAAACAGTATCATTGATATGATTTACAAGTTAGATATGAAAATATTAATGTTTTTTAATACATACCATAATTTATATGTAATATAGTCCATGAGTCCAAGTTTTGTGTAATCAAAAATATTTTTGATGATTTGTTTATTATTATTAATAATAAGGAATATTTTCACCAAGTCAATTTAGTTTATAAAAAAATTGTATATTCCTATTATAATAGGGAAACAATTACACATCAATTATTTCAATAATAGTTTTCATATAGCATTTAAAAACTGCTAATAAATTTTTTTATACACATTTAAAAATATAGTTAATTTGTTTTTTTAATAAACGGTACTAATGTTAACTTGATGAGTTTATTAATATTTATAATGAAGATAATTATATCATTTATTTGTTAGCTGATTATTATTAAATAATAATTTGATATAAATTTTGATAATTTTATAAATATTATATACAACTCACAAACATAGTCTCACAAATAGTTTTGCCATAGGATTCACACACTTTCACAATCCATACAAAACTTTATACATTATATGCTTTTACAGTAAAATATACACATATTTCTGCATTCCTGTCAATGTATGTCTTGTTATATGAAAATTATATTAGAATCAGATGTTAACAGTTTTACAGCTAACAGACAACTGGTTGTGTAGTAGTTGTCTACCAGTGCTCCACACAAGTGGTGTTTCAAGAGTCGAGCTCTGGACTCATTCAACTGAGACTGTGGAGTATAATAGAGAGGCTAACCAAAACATTTTACATAAACCAAACCAAACTGAAACCGTTTAATAAATACCAAAATCATATTGTTTTTATCATATTACCATGCTAATTATTCATATTATCATTTATATAAATATATAAACTATAATTTTAATATAAACATTGAAAATACTTTATTATTTAATATAACTCATATCATTACATTTATCACAATATTTTTTTTTATAACTACTTTAATTTTATAAAATATATTTAATTAAAAATGTTATTTATTGCAATAATTTAAATGAAAAATCTTTATATTAAGATAGAAACTAAAACTTTTAGTTAAACGGAAACCAAAATGTATTAATAAAACAAAACGGAAATCTAAATCCTAAAACCGAAACCGTCTAAAAACAGTTTTCTGTTTCAGTTTCAACGGTCCAACCAAACCGAATCGTGTTTGGGTTCAGAACTCTAGAGCACAGGGCTGTTGTGATCATACATTTTAGTGAAACTACTTCAAGAAAAGATTGTAAAATATCTAAACTAAAAATAATAACAATTAATAAAACACAATATTATAATAACTTCCCAATAAAATTATAGATGAATTGTATGATCATTTTTGAGAGTTGCCTGGTCAAATTTTGATAATTTTAAAAATTATTTATTTATTATTTCAATAATTTTACTAATTTTAATATCTTCTACAACTTTGTCTAAACAATCTTCTACCAAATGTTTGATTAAACCGGTTTTATTTCTATCATACAATACAAATGCTATACAAATGGTATAATACAATAGATTTAAGTTTGAGAATTAGTGAATACAATAAAAACCGGTATTAATCGTGAAATAGCCAATTGTCTGCATCTTATATAAGGGTTAAACTAAATATTTGATTTTATTTGCTTTTAAATATATTTAGAATATATTATATAAAATTATATAATTTTATGTAAATACTAATTACATAACTTATATTTTAATAGATTTCACCCGAACTTAACTAATAATATAACCAAAAATATAACATTTAGCTAAATATATTTTAATTACTGGCACTTATGATACATGATGTACAGTATTACACATAATAATACACACACATCTACAAACAGGTATATATTTTATTGTTTGTTAGGGTTGGCAAATTGCTGTGAAATATTTTATCAATGAAATTTAAGGTTACTTTGGTAATTAATTTTTAAATAAAGCTTCTATACATATAATTTTTATATTTTATAATTATTACTTCCAGTTAAATTAATTGTTTTAATTATTAAATAAATAACAGTAAAAATGACTTTTTTAGTAAATATAAAATAGTAGAGATATTTGTCTCGAAATTTCTTAAGTTATAATACAGATATCAAATATAAATGAAATGAATAAATAAAGAGATTAAACATTAAAATTTTAAAAATTTGTCTAATTTCAATAGTATTTTATTGCTAAATTTTTTTTATAAGTGATGCTTTATATAATAATTTACTTTAAATACTTTTTATTTTTTAATTTACCATAATTTACATAAATTACAAAACTAACAACCATACTGTTAATATAAACTAATATAGTATATGCTTTATACAGTTCTATACACTTAGCTTTACTATAGAGAAAGTTAATGCTTTTTTATAGTAGAGATACAGGTATATCATAACTTGAGAGTATATAAGCATAACTTCTTTAAACATTATAAGGAATGGCATTTAAATTAATATGATTTCATGAGGTAATGGTAGTAACATAATAAACATTGTATGTATTTTTTAGAGAAGATATAAATATAAGTATAGTGACCAACTGTACTGTAAAGTAAAAAGTAGAATTCAAGAAATTTTTTGAAAATGTTTTGTATAATACTATTACACAGTATCTTAAAATTAGATTATAAAAAGAATTTTTTATTTTTTATTGACATATTTTTTTCATTTAATAAATAAAATTAATATTATTTAATAACAACAAAAATAGTTTAGTAGTTGTGTTAATATTAAAACTTACAATCTGTATGACTATTTGTATAACTAATATTGTATATGTATTTTAATTAGTTATATTATAGTTTTGCAGGACACTTACATTGTCCCGGGTCACTAAATTTAGTAACTTCATTAAAAGTAGATACTGTCCCGGACTGTCCGGGACGGCTGATCCCTCTAAATAGGAGAGTGATGTTGGTTCACGAAATAAGGTGTGTAAATACTGTATATAGATATATAATATAATATATGAAAACTTATATAAGTAGAGTTAGACTGTACTACCATTGGACGACCTTCACTGACACAGTACCGGCTTTTTCCATGTTTTCTCTCACAGTTTTTTTTAAAATTTTATTACCAAACCTTAGATTTGGGTTTGAAATACATTGCAATAACTCCAACACTAAGATATAGCCTCAAGAATCTGTTGATAAATAATTTATGAATAGTATGTATGGATAGTATGTATGGATAGTATGGCACACATATTATAATAGATAGTTTAGGATGAGTGCGATAGTCTTTTTCCTTTTATTGAATTGACCATGCACAAATGGGTAATATTACAATCTACCCAGGCATGTATGACAATAGCAAACAACATAGTATAGGTTACAGTGAGATAGGCTATGAAAAACAGAGAGAGAGAGAGAGAGAGAGAGAGAGAGCAAAGGCAAAGTAGACATCTCCTCTCATATGAGCTTCAAATTTATCTGTTTAGTGAATATAATATACAAAATGAATAGAAATAACTTATATTTCAAATAAGAGAAAAAATGCAAGAAATGAATAATAAGTTTGAATTGTAAAGAGAAATGTATTAAAAAATATAAAAAAATAATATTTTGTATTTCTTTTGTGTTGTTAGGACTAAGATATGATATTATAGTCATATTGTGTATGCGTTTGTATATTTCATTGTAGTTTTACTTATTATTATTTTTTGTATTCAATTTTTCTCAATATTATTATTGTGAAAACCAAGGGAACTGTAGATTCGTGAGGGGTGCGCACCGGTATTTGTACTGTATATGTTTATATTTAAATTTTTATATTAGTATGTTATACACTGTGTTCAATATGTACACAAACATATAGTTATTATTGTTGTCACTAATACCACACAGCCGTATGACTGACTAACCGGTGGTAGAGTTTTTCAATTAAACATATTTTTCTGGTCTAAGATATTATCGACATAAATGCTTATTTGTTATGAATATGTTGTGTCTATCAGTACTATCATATCTATTGAACTGTACAGTTGTATGAGTTGTGAGGCCAACCATTAACACAGGTAATGGTATATTATCAGCAATATAGCGATGAACTGAACAGATATTTGTTATTTGCTTTATCTTTTATATTTGCGGTGAAGACTTATAATTATAAACAACAAGTATTTCTTAAGAGAGATTATATGTCATTCGTTTGTTTGCAGGGAATGGCAAATAAATTTACATATAAGTGATAATGAAATGTTTGACCCGTCTCTCACAATATCAATATCCCTGTTCACTTCAGCACAATAATAATTTAATAATAATAATAATAATAATAATAATAATATGACATCCCTAAGTTCATGACTTGTGCAAACTTTAAGCATTATATTTATATTTGAAAGGGAAAAGGCATTCAATTATTTTTTGTTCATAGGATTTGTCAAGAATTTGCTATTTATTTGTAAAATAATAGATTACTTTTATTATTGCTTATAAGTTATAACTATTATATTTTATGTGTACTATACATACAATTTTTTATTATAGCTCATTGCAAACATTTGATTACAAACATTATATTATAAAAGATTTTTTTATAACTTTTCTGTGAGAATAATGTTTTATAATAATAATGCGATAAACAAATATTGCATTTATTTAATAATAATAAAATTTCATTGTAAACTTATGAATATAAAAAAATTTGCTTTTATATCAATTTTAATACTGATTCGTGAAATATAATACTGTATAATAAAAAATGAATTTAATTTAAGAAACAAATATTTTTTGATGCAATTTATTTGTTTAAAAGTACTGTAGTTAAACCATACATTACAATCGTATTTACAAATATTGTTAAAACTAAATGATTGTAAAAATGTTTTATTGAAATCAAAAAATGTTATTTTAGAAAGAATTGACTGAATATTCCGACAAAAGATTTCTAAGAAAAATATATATTTATTTTTTGTTCACATATTGTTTGCAGTTTATAATAAAAGGGAAATTTTTTCTTTTAAAAAACTCTTATAAATAATTCAAATACAAATTGTTTTTGCTTACAATGCGAGATAAAATGAAAGAGAGAAAGAAATAAATGCAAAGTTAGGAATATTTTTAAATATTTTGATTGTATATCACAAACCATATGGAAATTATAACACTAAATATTACTAAAAAATGTAAAAATAAAAAATAACCATAAAATCCACAATTTTTAAAAAATAGTAATTACATGCAAATGAATAACTATTTTGCAAATAAAATATTATAGTATATACTAATTTGTCAAAAATACTAAAATAAAAATACAATATTTTATGACTTATTAATGTAAAAAATTTATAAACAAAACATTTTCTTTTATATATTAACTTATTTCTCAACACATCTTTCATTAAGTTTAATAAATAGGAAACTAAAATTTGATTTTTTATTAGTTTTTATTAAAAAAACAAATAAATAAAACTCTTGTTAATGCAAAAAATAACTTATTTTATTGCTATAGTCTATAGATGTAAATTCAATGTAAACTTATCAGTAATGAAATTCAATGTTTACACATTTGAGTTTATAAAATCTAGTGAAGTAAATGTAATAATTATAATTATAATAGCCTTTAGTATAAAATTCAATGTATAATAATAGTAAACATCAAAATATCGCCTTTTCTTATATGTCATCAAAAATAAAATCTCATATATAATGATAAAGTTAAAACTTTTTACATAAATAAAACATAAATAATGTTTGAAAATAATTTGCTATTTTAGTCGGCAATTTTTATTTATTTTTTCATTTAATATTATAACTACAATTGTATGGATAAGAGATGGGTTTTCAAATAAAAAGCATACTTTCAATAAAAAAGGAAATAATAAACAAAAAGTTATTATAATTTATATTTTGTTATTTATAATTAAGTACACTATGAATTAAAATATATAAAATATATTGGTACATACAACATGTACAGTAAATACCTGTATAACTTATATGTTATACCTATATAAGCAGTATAAAAATCATGACATAATTTTAATTTTTAGCTCCGGGTCTTTAAATCAAATCTTAGACTACATTATCCATTAGTGGAGAGAAAGGGTTTACACAAAAGCATAATAAAAGTTAAAGAATAAGAAAATAACTGAGAATTTACAGACAACACAACACATCCTAAAACAAAACAAAAAAAATAAATAATTTATTCTTGACTATTGAATAATATAGTAATATATATTAAAATAGTAAAATAATATTAATACTTGAAAGCAAAATAAAACAAAATAAAACTCAATGCATCTCTGAGGCGCAGATGGTGACCAGGAAACTATTACTCACACATATTGTACATTATATACTATTGTATAAACTATTATTTATAAAAATAATATATATATAAAAATATTTATCATTACTAGTCAATGGTATAACATCTCATATAAATATGATGGTTAAGGATGAGAGCAATGTGTTTGCAATATTACCAGTATTTAGAAAAAACTGCAAAAATTTATTGTTCAACACAAACGACCCCAAAAAAGTAAAAAATAAATAAAAACTTTTTTATGTGCTTTTGTTTGCATTTCATTTTCTTTATCATTTTATTTATTGATGATTATTATCCATAATTTTTTATATATCTTTACTCCACTTTTAAAATTCTTTATTTTTCCAAATTCTTAACTTAATATATATTTTTATTATTATTATTGTGTTGTTATTGTTGTTGTTTTTGAATTGTATTGAACAGCAAAATGGATAGAAGTTTTTTTCATAAGATTATTACCTATTGTTCGTTAAATAATATATATATTATTTTGTTAAATATTTCTATCGTTACATAATAACTGAGACTAATAGGCAAAAGTGCAGACCAGACAGTGACGGACACTTGACTATAGTAAAGGCACTGCGCTTATTATGAACTGTTTGTTTGCATACCTTTCCATTTCATTTAGTCTTTTATAATGATTTTTAGTGAGAGAAAAGGGATATCTTTTGTTGAATTTATTGTATTCATTCAAAAAAACTTATATTAAAAAAAATATATTTATTATTTACAATAGTTTTAGTGTAAATATAGAAATATAATGTTAAATAAAATTATATACTAGAAAACAATATTAAAATGCAATTTAATGTAAATGTAGATATTGTATATTAATTTCAAATTAGTTTATGGAGAACACTGTTATTAGCAATACTAATCTCAAACAAAAATTTAATATTCATGAGAAAAGATTTTAAAAAATAAATAAATTTGTTTTCAACTTAAACTAAAATCTTTCGTCTTTTTCCTTTACCGAAGGCTATTACGAAACCATAAAGTAATGAGTATTTGTGAGAAAAATTACTTTATTTTATTATTATATTTACTAAAGATATTGTTGTTTTGTATTATTGAATATTTATTTTTGTAAATACTTACTGTAATAGTAATAATAATAATATGCGAATAATAAGTCTATCTTTCTTTTATCAACAAAACAATGATTTAATTGCATTTCAGTCACTCATCACTCAAAGTATTTAAAATATATATATATATAAAATTTACAGTAAGTTTTTGCTTACTTTTATGGTTGAAAACACTTATCAATCACTAAACTAGTGATAATGTGAACGATAGGCCATCGTTTCGCTGATACCACTGATCAGCTTGGTCACCACATATGCACTGGTATTTTTTAGCTACCAGTGCTGTAAGCGATACGGGAGGTCGGCAGGGGTTGAGTGGACATGTGTTATAGTTTGTGAACTTTTTTATTACTTAATTCACATATCAGTAATATATATATATATATTTATATTTAAATTGTTATAAAAATGTCTAATGTTTTCAAAAAATATATATCTAAATAGCTTCGCCAACATAACTAGCCCTTTAAGGGCTAGTTTGGCAAACATTTTAATTATTAATTAGCGATAAATAAGTACTGGGAATACATGTTTTACTATTTTGTTGGTCATTCATAAGATTAATATTTTTAATTTTGCATTTTTCAATATAAAAACTCTCTAAAAAATATCTTGATCTTTTATTTTTTTCATTATAAATAATATTCGGATAATCAAAGTTAATGTTATGACTAGTTAATCTAACATGGTCAGCTACATTACTTTTTATATAATTATTATTTATTGCTTTTTTATGTTCAATAATTCTATCAGATAATTTTCTACATGTAGTGCCAATGTATTTAAATGAACAGTCTATACAATCTAATTGGTAGACTATATTATTTTTATTTAATAAAGTTAACGGATTTTTGTTTAATAAATTTTTTATTGTCAAACCTTTTTTAAATACAACATTTATATCATAATTTGCTAAAATTTTCCTTATATTTTCACTTAAATTTTTATAATAAGGGATTGAAATAGTTTTGGTGATATCAAATTTATTTTTATCTGACAAATTATTATTGTTTTTATTTAAACATTTATCTATAGTTTCATTTATTATTTTTTTAGGAAAATTGTTTTCTATTAATGCTTGTTTTGTAATATTTAATTCATCTTTTAATTTCTCATTAGGATTTGTTAAACTAACTGCTCTATTAACTAGTGTATTGATTATACATTTTTTGTTTTGTATTGATTGATGAGATTTAAAATCAATATATCTATTAGAATGTGTAGGTTTGCGGTATACGAGTGTATCTATAGATTCATTATTTTTTATAAGTTGTACATCTAAAAAATTTAGTATATTATTAATTTCATATTCTATAGTAAATTGAATATTACCAATAGATTTACCAATTTTATTAATGTGAAATAAATATTTTTCAACATATCTTTTGTTTATAATTAAAAAACTATCATCAACAAAAAATTTTAAAAAACTAGGTTTAAAGTTACAATTATTTAAAGATAATTCAAATATATAACTAACTAATGTTTCTGCTAAAACTGGAGACAGATTGCAACCCATAGGGGCTCCCGATTTTTGGATATAAAATTTATCATTAAATGTAAAACAATTATTAAACATACAAAAGTTTATCAAAATTATAATATTATTTACATCTAAATTAGTTCTATTAGATAGTGTATTGTCGTTTAATAATTTGTTTTTAATTAATATTAATGTAAAATCTAAAGGAATATTTGTGAATAAATTAATAATATCTAAAGAAATCATTATTTCATTGTTTTTAATTTTTTGTGATTTTATTATATTTGCAAATTGTTTAGAGTCTTTTAATGTGTATAAGCTATTACGTAATGTAGGTGTAATAATGTCACTTAAATATTTTGCTAATTTTGAACAAGGGTGATTAAAATAGGGGATAATTAATCTACCTGGATTATTTTCTTTATGAATTTTTATTAAAGCATATAAATTAGGTATATTGTAATAACTTGGATATATATAATAATATTCATTTCTATTTAATAAATTTTTATTTTTAAGATCTCTTAATATATTTTTAAGTTTGTTTGCAATTGTGTTAATATTATTAGTGTCAATAATACTGTATATTTTTTTATCATTTAAAATATTTTCTACTTTACTTATATAGTCTATTTTATTTAAAATAACAGTTTTATTGCCTTTATCGGCATATGTTATGACAATATCATTATCATTTTTTAGTTTATTTAAACTAGTTATTTGTTTTTTTGTTAGATTAGGTTTTATTGATTTATAATTTTTTAATTTATTAATTAAATTTATTCTAATATTTTCTAAATCTGGTTTATTTTGAATTAAATTTTTTAATTTACTTTCTATATTAGATATAAACTGTTCAGGTATAATTTTGTTTGGCACTACTTGAAACTTAGGATCTAAACTTAAAATATATTGCTCATCATTATTAAAATGTTTATTAGATAAATTAACTATCCATTTTGAATTATTATTATTATTATTATTTATTTTATTATTATTAAATATATTATTGTTTGATAAATACAATTGAGTATTTAATAATTTATTGAATTTATTTTTTTGTCTCATTCTAATTTTTGATTTTAAATTTTTACAATATTTAATATTTCTAGATTCTATTATATTTAACATATTTTTTGGTAATAAATAATTAAGAGATTTAAATTTTAGATTTGCTAGTCTGTAAAACTTTTTTAGTTTGTATTTACAAACATTTATCCTATTTTTTATAAAAATTAAACTACAAATTTTAGCAGCTCTTATTGAGCTAGGGTATTTATCATTAGATATTACTTGTAAACTTTTAGGTATAATTTTATTTTCATAGCATTTTTTATTAAAAGTAAGGTGTTCACGGTACTTAACTATTTTAAACATGTCTCTCTCCCATTGCCTGCACCTCCGTATGCCGTCCATACCGTAATTGGTTTTAATCAAATTATTAATAGAATCACTCATAACTTTTTAGTTGTTTTCACAATTTTAATAAAATTTACAGTAAGTTTTTGCTTACTTTTATGGTTGAAAACACTTATCAATCACTAAACTAGTGATAATGTGAACGATAGGCCATCGTTTCGCTGATACCACTGATCAGCTTGGTCACCACATATGCACTGGTATTTTTTAGCTACCAGTGCTGTAAGCGATACGGGAGGTCGGCAGGGGTTGAGTGGACATGTGTTATAGTTTGTGAACTTTTTTATTACTTAATTCACATATCAGTAATATATATATATATATTTATATTTAAATTGTTATAAAAATGTCTAATGTTTTCAAAAAATGTGTCGCTAATGTTTTATGTTGGCGAAGCTATTTAGATATATATTTTTTGAAAACATTAGACATTTTTATAACAATTTAAATATAAATATATATATATATATTACTGATATGTGAATTAAGTAATAAAAAAGTTCACAAACTATAACACATGTCCACTCAACCCCTGCCGACCTCCCGTATCGCTTACAGCACTGGTAGCTAAAAAATACCAGTGCATATGTGGTGACCAAGCTGATCAGTGGTATCAGCGAAACGATGGCCTATCGTTCACATTATCACTAGTTTAGTGATTGATAAGTGTTTTCAACCATAAAAGTAAGCAAAAACTTACTGTAAATTTTATTAAAATTGTGAAAACAACTAAAAAGTTATGAGTGATATATATATATATTATTGTTATTTACTGTATGTTTGTAAAATATTTCCTATATGTTGGTCATTTTACTTGTTGAGACAACAAACAATTTTATTAAAAATATATTTTTTAAGTTTTGAAAATTATTTATATTAAATATACAAAATATCTGCCAAAAGCAACATATACTCAAAGAGAATATAGTAAAAACATATACAGTTTACTACATATAACATTTTATGGACAAAATGATATTTGTGAGGCCTCTCTCTCTCTCTCTCTCTCTCTCTCTCTCTCTCTCTCTCTCTCTCTCTCTCTCTCTCTCTCTCTCTCTCTCTCTCTCTCACTACAGTATATATACAGTATACTGTATATATCTGAGCCGGTGCTCTCCCGCTGGCATTTAATGTGAATTATAATTTTTTAATAGCATATATTATGCATTATATTATTTGTCTGCACACATATACATAACTTTGGCTGTCATGTCATCCCGCAATTCCTACATGTGTGCCCTATTAGACTATACTATACTATACTATACTAAACCATACCACACCATACCTGTCTACTGGATTGTTAGACCACCAGAATCTATTAGACAGACATTAAAATGATTATTTTAATATTAAAGTCACTTAAATATCAAAGTCAAAAACGCATTAAACGCACTTAAAATAACAAATAACATTAAGCTTTGACATTGCATTGAAAATAAAATGATAATAATATTTAATAAAATAGTTATATAAAAAAATAATTTTTCTAATATCTACCATGTAAATTAATGTCTATATTTTTTTATTATTATATTAATTTATAATTTATTTTATAAATAAATTTTAAATACTTATTAGTGTAATATATAAGATGTCTAAATATTAATAATGATAAATTAATTATGTGTTACACATATTACTACAAAAAGGTGTGTCACTAATATATTTCAAGCAAATGTTTCACAGGTATTAAACAAATTAATTTTGTATATTTATTGAAAGATACTTAAAAATGAAATATTTCTAAATTAATAAATAATAAAAAAATGAAATAACTAATAAAAATATTTTTCCCGACAATAAAAATTATCTTTTTAATTTATTTTTGTTTTCACTTTTTATTTATTTTTACTGGTTTTACCTTTTTATGGGCTTTTTCTAGTATAACCTAAAAATAAAAAATAATATGCTTTTAGTATATAAATTCAACATATAAATGAAAATATATACATATAAAATGCAGATGTATTTGAAGGTTTTTTTTTATATCAATTCATATGTGTGTTATTCAGTGGTATATAATTACTGATGATTTTTGTTATACGACTGTTTGTTAAAGTTATGCCACACCTGATGTCCAAATATGTAGAGTGTTTGGCACTTCAGACAAGTCCGTTGCTCTTTATTTATATTTATTATATAATAAAATTGTATAACAAATATTAATATTAAAATATTAAAAATTTACAATTAATATAAGAAAATACAAAGTTAAATATGTTTTTATTTGTTTTATTACTTAATACGATTATATTATATTATATTGTATTGTATTTATATAAGATATATGATGTTGATGTATAAGACATATACTACTAATTAATGATTCTCTTAATAGTAAAACAACTATTTTTTAATATAAGTTATAATAAATGCAACAAAAAATTTACAAAATAATATTATAATAATAATAAGATTAATATATAGTTTTTATTTATTTTTTTTATTATTTTTTGGCGTTATTTTGTATATTGTTAACCATAAGAACAAAAAAAGTTAAATAATTATAAATATTGTGTAAAATTTTGTAAATTTGAGAAAATTTAAATAAAATATTTATTTTAAAAATTAAATTAAAAATAAAATCATATAAACAATGAAATTTATATTCATTATTATCAAAAATTAACAAAAGTTTATAATAAAATACATATTAATATTATTTTTTAATGTTTTAATAAAGCATTGATGAGTAATTGTGAATATACTTAAATCTGTATTAATATAAAAATAAAAACAAGTGTTTCATAATAATCTAAAGTAAAAGGTGTGGGCATTAAATAGCATATAAAATCATTTTACGGACGCAATCTTACTAAACAATATAAAAAAGTTTGTTAATAATAATAATTTTTATTTATTAAAATAATACATTATAATAAATTATTATAAGTACTGTATATAATTGCATTTCTATTTCAATTTACACTGTTTATAATACTTTCACTAATAAAAAACAATTAATAGATTATTGATATTCCATTTAATATGTGAATTAACTTTGAAATCAATAAATTTTCATATAAGACAGTTATATAAAAATTTAGTTAGTATTTATAATAATAATATTTTACAAAAATGCTAAAATATATAAACAACATAAATGCTTATCATTTTATTATAAACATTAATTAATTAATAAAAATTAATTTTTAAAAACTTGTAATATTTTATTTTTTAATTTACAAATGTATAAATAAAATTTTTATTATTAAAATATTGTAAACTCTATTATTAAAGCAACTAATATACAGTAATTAAAAATAAATGTATTTTAAAATTCAATTTTCAAGGATAATAGAAGAGATATTTATTGTTTAGATTAAAAATGTTTATTAAATTTAAATAACTCATTATATTTATTTATACTAATTAATCATAAAATATAAATTCAATAAAATTTTTTATATGTATTGTATTCAATAAATAAAAAGTTAAAATTAATAAGAACTAAAATTGTTTAGTCAATTAACTTCAAAATAATTAACAAACAATAATAATTTCTTTTCATTTCAATGACCTATTTTGTTGATATTGTATGTTAGGATAGGTATAGTATTATACAGTTTAATACAACAATATAATGGATCACAAAACTTATTATATATCATCATAATATCAATACAGTATTATATTGTGAAGCTTTATAC